CAGTCGGTGCTAGCCTAATCCATGTTACCTCAGTCCATGTTACCTCAGTCCATGTTACCTCAGTCCATGTTACCTCAGTCCGTGTTAGCCCAGTCGGTGCTAGCCTAGTCCGTGCTAGCCTAGTCCATGTTACCTCAGTCCGTGTTAGCCCAGTCGGTGCTAGCCTAGTCCGTGCTAGCCTAGTCCATGGTAGCCTAGTCCATGTTACCTCAGTCCGTGTTTGCCCAGTCGTTGCTAGCCTAGTCCATGTTACCTCAGTCCGTGTTAGCCCAGTCGGTGCTAGCCTAGTCCATGTTACCTCAGTCCGTGCTAGTGCTGTCTGTGGTTCCCGGTGGTTTCCCTCTCTGGACGTTAAATGTTGTCGCTCAGTTCCAGCTGTGAGTTTTCTCACTGATGTTTCTCCATGCAGCTCCCAGCGTCTGTTCTCCCGTAAAGAGCTTCCTGCTTCGGTTCCCGCTCGCTGCAGAGTGCGTGGAGCGCTGCAGAACACTGCTGCAGGAGCACGACCTGACGCCCCCCGTGCTGTCCATGCCGAGCCCCTGCCCAGAGCTGGCCCATCAGCTGTCGCAGCTCCAGAAGCAGGCGCGGCAGCACTGCAGCAACATGGCCAGCCGCTTCGCTCTCCCCGGCTTCCTGACCAGCCTTAACCGCTCCGTCCTGCAGCAGCGCCCCCCAGACACCTGATAGACCCAGCCTGGAAAGTGCCAAATAAAGCTGCCGCTCCTCTGCAGCATGCAGCTCCCTCTGGTGGCCATTTAATCTCAGGCGGACAGACTGAACAGGAAGTGTTCTCCTTCCTGCGGCTCTGAAACGAAACTGACAGAAACAAATCATTTGTCGCTTCATTGGCATCAAAAACACAAATAGTTTAAAATCTAGGTTAAAAATGTCAAGCCAAAGCGGCAAATATTTTTAATATCAGCAGATGAATTATTATCTAAAATTACAAAATAAAGCTAGAAGCAGCTGGAAACTACTGGACCAGATCTGCTGCAGAGTTCTGGTTCTGGTTTCACTTGAACAGAAGGAACCAACATGGCAACAACATCTCAGCAAAGAGCAACGTTAGAAAGAGCAACGTTTAAACTGGATCCCCGACCCAAACCTAGACCCAGCTCACTTCCTCCAGCTTCACTGAAATTCACTCTAGATCAACAGATCACCACATTTTTCCCTCTATTGCAAAACTGAGTTTATTGCAAGTTTTTCACAAACAGTGATGCCAAGTCCCACCTGCAGGTGGCAGTATTTCTTACTTCTGCTGCCTCGGCCTAACTTGATGTCAGTTTATCATCCTTGATCGATGCGACGAGTAAAAAGTAGCATCTCTGTTCTCCTTGTAAATGAACTGATTGTTTTATCACATTAAAGATAAAACAAAAAATTCTTTGCTCCTTTATTTTTTATTTTATTGCAAAAAATCACAAAGACGATCACAGAATCCTGGAGGAACTGAATGTTATAAATTAGACACTAATAATTTCTTCATAAAGTTATTAAAGTTGATTGCCGAAAACATAGAGCATGTGTCTCAGATCTGTTGCTATGGAAACAAAGCAAACCTGAATATACTTAATAGGAAACAAAGACTCAGAGCAGCTTTTCCAGCTCTGCTACCATCTGCTGCTCATGGGCCACTGCACACAAACAACTAGGTCATTTATTCCCACTGTCATCGCATGCTTTTCCCCTGCTAATTAAACAATGAAGCAAACAGAAAAGGAGCTGAAACACCAAGGATGACCCAAGTTCAGTCAGAAACGTTCAACTACAAATCCAGATTTTTCTAAATATGAACTCAGTTCAGAAAACCTGAGAGCGGCTTCTGCATGCAGCCGCTACGGTTGGCGTTGTGCTGCTGCATCTCCCAGAAGAGGGCGGGGCCTGCAAAGCTACTTTTGAGTCTCTGTTGAAATGTTTCATACTGACTGTGACCTGGCTGTCAGTTTGTCACCTCAGAGTTTCTGCTCCTTTTTCGGTTTAACCATTAAAGGGTTTTGTTTTCTTTGGGACACGGTTTTGATCCAGTGGGATCAGGCTGTCTTTGATGCTGCTATGAAGAGAAGTGCGTCACGTCTGCTGTGTTTCTATTTCATGTCTCACTGGGATGTTTGTGATTACAATATAAAGTTATTTTCTGTTGTATTAAACCTCAGTAAATCAGATCAGCTGCCTCTTTTAGACCCGAGGATTAGACCCAGTCTCATCATGTTCCTTCATGATGAGACTGGATGTGAGAGTTCATCAGCTTATCTTAAGCCAACAGGATTCTTCTGCCATGTTTCGGTTCTAAAACTGAAAACCCAGGTTTAAACCGATGTAGACACAAAAACACACAAACACGACTCCTCAAACAAATAAAAGGTGACAGAAAAACTCTGAGGAGGTTTAATAGATTTGGACTTGAGGGTGAAGAGCAGAATTTCTGTAGTGATGCAGAACATCAGCATGACTGAACCTGTCATGTTGATGTTCTCTACAGGAACATCCAAAGTTGAGCTCCAAGTGGTTTCTTGAAGCAAATCTGAACAGATTTAGGTGCATCAACTGATAATTCCCTGAATTCCTCAAAGCCCTCTGCAGCTGTTAGTTCATGGATTGATTTACCAGAACAACGCAGCTCCTCTTCATGATGCTAAAAACATTTCCAACAGGAGATGGATCTTTCAACCACCTGAGGCTTGAAATATCCTGGAGCTTCCTGGAAAACATGGCAGGCACCTTGATGTCTCCAAAAATCCTGCATCCTGTTCTGAATCAGCAGGTCGGGGTTCCTCGTTTTAAAAACTTGCTTTGGTGAAGTGACTGTAGGGAGTTTTGAAATAACATCAGTGTCATCTGCGTGGAGCGTGATCAAATGGTTAAGAACGTAAAGTTATGTTGTTATACTACAGTTTTCTGAGTGATTCTGGACAGAAACAGAATTCAGTTGCCAGAAATCAACAGAAGGGGACTATGTGGTCTGGGGAGGGGCTATGTGGTCTGGGGAGGGGCTATGTGATCTGGGAGGAGCTATGTGGTCTGGGGAGGAGCTGTGTGGTCTGTTTCTATTAACCATAACAGATGGAAAATGCTGGATCTGCCAGACCTCCTGGTAAAAGTCATAAAATCAACATCTAGAAAATAAGTCATTTTTGAATTGTTTATTAAAACCCTTAAAGTAAAATCTGACATTTTATTGAACAACAGCTGTTATCAGATTTTTGTGCAGCTTTTAGCTCCTTTTGCCAACGGTAAATACATATTTTATAAACTCAATTAAAAAGTCATTATTCATCATGAACCACAGAGGAGAAATCCTGAACTTTTTATGAAACCATTTTCCAGATACTGTTCAGTTATTCTAAAACAATCTGGGGTTTGTTAAATTGTTTCTTTAATAACCTGATTTTGTATTCCTTTGGTTTCTGTTAGATCTGGCGTAATTTCTTTAGAGTTTTTCCTTGAACTGTGTAACATTTTTCCCAAACTTCATCTTGTTGGAATAAATGTTGAGACCTGAGTAAATCTGGAGTGATTGTCATTCTTCAGTTCTGTTTAGCCGGAGATGATTTTCCAGATTTCAGATGTTGGAGGCATGTTAACGCGTTACTGACATTGGACCACTCTCTTCAGTTATTTCACTCTCAGGCTGTAAGTCCAGTCAGAGGTTAAAACGCGTTCAGTTGGGTGATTATTTTGGATGCTCCACCCAGAGCTCAGCTGCAGCAGCAGGTCTGCTCCATGCTGGCTCTGCGCTGCGGCACCGATCCATGTCTTCTGCTCTGATCCTCAGGAAGCTGCAGGAACGCTGACGCTCCAGATCCGGATGAGCTGCACGGACTCAGCCTGAGCATCCCGCAGATAATCACAACCCCGGAACCTGAGCCCAGCATGCTGATGGTGCCTCAGCTCAGGTAACAGCAGCAGGCCTGCAGGGGGCGCCGCTCATCTCTACACCAGCTGATCAAAGAGACTGGCAAAATCAGGAAGAGCATTAAAATATTAAATTATGGAAAAGACAAGTAAGGAATGATGGCAAAATTTATGGGTTTCATAAAAGANAAAGAANTGGGAANATGTGAATCTAAAACAAAAAACTGAAAATCTGCAGGAATATTTTAGTTTTATTCAGTAGAAGAAGAGGAGACAGGTCAGCGGGTCAGAACGGTTCTGAACTGTAACAAACATCCTGAGAGGAAGAGCATCGAGTCGTTGACCTGCAAGCGAATCATGTCTCCAAAGACATCGTCAAAATATTTGGAGATACTGATGATGACTTCTGGAAACATTTTTGTTATGTATCTTTAATAAATGATAGCAGCACAAACAAAGTCTGGTTCTGTTTGACCCTGAAAGCTGCTGGCGGCATCGCCTCAGCGTGTTTAATCCTCCTGTCGGGGCTCAAACATCTTCATCATACGGAGAGTACAGATCAGTCTGTTCAGTCTCTGGAGCCATAAATCATTTGACAGCAGCGATAAAGAGCTGCCGGGCTCACAGGGTTCTGGATGTGCTGCTGTCTGCAGAGCTGACCCGGCCGCAGGCGAGGAGGACGAGGAGCTGCTGAAGGCCTGGGCCAGTCAGGGAGACGACGAGTGAGACCTCGACCCAAGCGCAGCATGACCCTCGTCCATCAGCAGCATCTTCACCGTGTCTGTTCTCCCTGCAGGATGCGGCCGCAGTCTGCTGCCAGCGTGGCCAGCGTCACGGTCCAGGAGCGCCTCAACCATCTGGTCGGGCTCTTCAAGGGCCGGACGGAGCGGCACAAAGACCGCCTGGCGGATCCCGACGAGTCCGAGGAGGAGAGCCCCACTGCCTGTAGGTCGCCCCGATCCACATCCCCTCATCCAGGAAAACCTGGATCCACTGAGCCAACCACTGGATCCAGTGGGCTTACCCAAAGAGAACAGGATCCAGTTGGTTTCCTGGATCCAGTGGGATCCCTGAGGGATTTTCTGTTGGATCTCCATCCTGCTGCCTGGTGAAAGCGGACCGGACCCCTGACCGTCTCTTCTGATACCTGCAGCTCCTGCCAAAGCTCCACCGGCTCCACCTCCTCCGCCGCTGCCGCCTGGAGAGGAGAAGAAGGACGAACCGGAACCACCGCAGGAGGCGAGTCTGTTCCAGTTTGACCTCCTGGGACATCCGGTCCAACTCCCCAAGCTTCCCCCGATGCCCGACTGGCTGCGGTCCATCCTGGAGTACCGCTTCCCGTCCAGCATCGATCCATTCACTGGTGAGCTCTCCTCCCAGAATCAACCACATTCTTCTGACGATTTCCCATAATTCTTCTCTCCCCCGTCCTTCAGACCTCATCTATGTGATCTGGCTGTTCTTCGTGGTGGCGGCCTGGAACTGGAATGTGTGGCTGATCCCGGTGCGCTGGGCGTTCCCCTACCAGACGCCGGACAATATCCACCTGTGGCTGCTGGCCGACTACACCTGTGACTTCATCTACATCGCAGACATCCTGGTCTTCCAGCCGCGGCTGCAGTTCGTTCGCGGCGGAGACATTGTGGTGCGTAGACTCAGAAACTTCCTGCATCCGACGTGGCAGAAACGGCTCTAACTGGTTTCACTGGTTCTACCTGACAGTGCGACAAGAAGGACATGAGGGAGCATTACATGACCACCGAGCGGTTCAAGGTGAGAACGTTCTGCTAGAGCAGCGAACAATCCAGATTCTGGAACGTTTCTGGTTCTGACCCGTGTTCTGTTTGTTCCCAGATGGACGTCATCAGCCTGTTCCCCATGGAGATATTTTACTACTTCACAGGAGTGAACTCCCTGCTGCGCTTCCCCCGCCTGCTGAAGGTGAGGAGCTCTTCCTCCTCTCCCTCCTCTCCCTCACCCTGTCCCGGGGAAGCAGCTGATTGGTTGTTTTCTCCCAGTACATGGTGTTCTTCGAGTTCAACGACCGGATGGAGGCCGTGATGAAGAAGGCCTACATCTACAGGTGGGGACCGCATCCAACTACATCCTATCTCACCCAACTGCATTCAGCCTCCTACGACATCCAACCACATCCAACTGCATCCTACCTCATCCAAACTCATCCAACCTCATCCTAACACATCCAACCTCATCCAACTGCATCCTACCTCATCCAACCACATCCTACTACATCCATCTGCATCCTATCTCATCCAAACTCATCCAACCACATCCTAACACATCTAACCTAATCCTACCTCATCCAACTGCATCCAGCCTCATCCAACCTCATCCTACGACATCCAACCACATCCAGCCTCATCCTACCTCATCCAACTGCATGAAATCAAACTAAATCGGTGTCAAACATTAGTGCTATGTTTGTGCTGGTTTGTGCAGCAAAAATTTTCGTTTGTGCCGCTATCATTTTAAAGATAAAAGGAAATGTTTCCAGAGGTCATCCAAGGTCAACCAACCCCCCACCTTCTTCAAATCAGACAAAATGGGTGTCAATCAACTCGGCTACGTTTGTGTTGGTTTGTGCAGCAAAAATTTTCGTTTGTGCTGCTGTCATTTTAAAGATATAAAGAAAGTTGGATTTCATAAAAGTGGGGGGACCTTTACACTTTCATTAATATCTTCAAAGCCAAAGCGTCACAAACGAAAATTTTTGCTGCACAAACGTAGCACAAACGCTTGACACCAATTTTGTCTGATTTGAAGAAGGTGGGGGGGCCAACTTCACTCAGGTACCTCATCCTACTACGTCCAACCTCATCCAACTGCATCCTACCTCATCCTACTACATCCAACTGCATCCTACCTCATCCAACCACATCCAACCTCATCCTACTGCATCCAACCACATCCAACTGCATCCTACCTCATCCAACCACATCCAACCTCATCCAACCACATCCAACTGCATCTAGCCTCATACTACATCCAGCTTCATCCTACCTCATCCAACCTCATCCTACTACATCCAACTGCATCCTACCTCATCCAACCACATCCAACCTCATCCAACCACATCCAACTGCATCTAGCCTCATACTACATCCAGCTTCATCCTACCTCATCCAACCTCATCCTACTACATCCAACTGCATCCTACCTCATCCAACCACATCCAACCTCATCCAACCACATCCAACTGCATCTAGCCTCATCCAACCTCATCCTACTACATCCAACTGCATCCTACCTCATCCAACCACATCCAACC